GGAAATTTGAGAATTTGGAGATTTGAGAATTTGGTACTTTGAGAATTTGGAAATTTGAGAGTTTGGACACTTGAGAATTTGGAAATTTGAGAATTTGGAAATTTGGGAATTTGGAGATTTGAGAATTTGGAGATTTGAAAATTTGGAAATTTGAGAGTTTGGAAACTTGAGAATTTGGAAATTTGAGAGTTTGGAAATTTGAGAATTTGGAAATTTGGGAATTTGAAGATTTGAGAATTTGGTAATTTGAGAATTTGGAAATTTGAGAGTTTGGAAATTTGAGAATTTGGAAATTTGGGAATTTGAAGATTTGAGAATTTGGTAATTTGAGAATTTGGAAATTTGAGAGTTTGGAAACTTGAGAATTTGGAAATTTGAGAGTTTGGAAATTTGAGAATTTGGTAACTTGAAAATTTGGAAATTTGAGAATTTGAAAATTTGAGAATTTGGAAATTTGAGAATTTGCAAATTTATTAATTTAGAGATTTCAGAATGTGAAACTTGAAGGACCTGAAAATTTTAATATTAAAAAATTTGCAACTTTCAAAATTAAAAAATTTCACAATTTGAAAATTGTGAGATGTGAAAATTAAACCAAAAATTGCAAAACTGTATTATTAAAAAATTTTTAAGTCCACAAATCTGAAAAAAATATTACACTTGAGTACATAAAGAACTGTTCAGCACAATTTGACATAGAATCACCATATTTAACATAAAATCAGCATAATTTCAATTTTAATAGACAACATTTATCATTTTCGCAATTTAAACCTGTTTCAGGTCTCCGCGTGTCGGAGGGCCTCTCTCGCAATCGTTAGCAATGATTCCGCCAACGATGCACGGCCACGAATTTAATCAACCCCTGTCGAGGGTGGTTATGGTCCGTAAAACGGATCAAAGGACTTTCAGCAAGGGCAGACGGGGCGGAGAGCCTCTCCTGGAAACGGTTACCAGGGAAACGGTGGAGCTTTTCAATGGCGGGAGAGCCGAGAGGAAATACACGTCTGAAACCAGAGACATCGTTACGCCAAAATCAAACAGGTATTATTTTCTCTTAATTACGCTATCGAAAGGGAAAAGCAAGAGAAATTTACTTCCTGGAATGTAAACGATGCGGTACGTTCGATGCGGGTATATATTACCGGTCACACAGTGTGGGACCATCTATCGATTAATGTGCGAAGTGAAATTCTTGAAATATTTAGTGAAAACGGAAATTTTTATACTTCCTGTTATCATTTATAACTTAGAAATCATTCTTGCAATAAAAACGGTAATTTATGACACTTCGTGATTTTATTTTAGATGGAAATAGATAAATGTTGCGTGCACGGAAATGGTGGAAACTGTACGCGTGAATTACTAGGGGGATTTGAAATAGTTTTGAGATTTTAGAGATAGAGATTATTTATGTTTTCAATTCACGAATAAATTGGAGAGATTATTGTCGAAGATTGTGGAGATCATAGAGAAGATTATTTATATATATTTATACACTAATGAGAACAAAAATATACATATGTAACATACATTATACATACATACATATATCAAAGTAAAATGATATAAATATTTATAAAAATACGAAAAACTATTAAAAATCATATGGACGTGTTCTTGTAAAGTACAGGTTAAAATATAATAATTTCAGATGGTTCCACACTGGTTTTTAACAAAAAATTATTAAATACCAATAACAAGAAAAATGCACGAAATGAATTTGTCCATACAGTCATTCAAAGTTTCATAAATGTTTGATTTGTCGTAGATCAGTTTATTTAGTATTTCAGAGTTGATCTAGAAATTAGTTATACAGACTCCTTACACGTAAAAATATACATAGATGTGTACATAAATGTTAGTGCAAGTTATCCCGAGAGAGAATTAAAAACATGTCAGAGCCATAAGGAATGAGGGTTAAGGGTGGGACTCGTTTACTTGGGACTTCTGTTGATTTTGAAACCCTGTCAGACATGGAAGACAGGAACAAATATTTTCACAGTGTTTTCTCTATGCTATGGGAATTTTATTATAGGTTGAGAACAATTCTTTTGTTGTTCTTTAATATTTATAATTAAAAGAAAATATTTTACTTTCACTTAAATTATTATTAAATTTTTATACATACTTTTCTGTAGAGTGTTGATAATTTTATAAATTATAATAATTACAAATTGTTTCATACTTGCTTCGAATAGAGTACTTTTTTATTTTATATCTGTAAGAAAATTTAGAATGTGATCACATTTTGTGCATAAAATTAAAAAAATTGGTTTGCAGTAAAAATTGAAATGTTGAAATAATTACAGAATCACTTCGATTGAAATTACAATCAGACAAAAATTATATAACACACTCTTCAAAAAATTTACAAAAAATACTTGCAAGAAATTACAAATTATATAAAACTAGTAAAGTTAGGTTAGGTTTCCATAAATAACCATTTTCGTTTTTAATATAGCAACGATGTACACAGCAATTAGTCAAAAACGTTTACGTCAAAACGTTTATTTGCAAAAACTATAGCTGAGGTAATAAAACTTCAATTAGCAATAAACGTGTTGATACTTTGTCTGATTGTAAATTGGCAATGTATACAGAACTAGTCGAGGTATAAGAGTATCTATACATTGCCATATTTAACACTTCGCAGGTAACATATACAGACAATACAAATCCTTAAGCCTTAAGGAGAAAACAAGTTTTTTAATCGAGATTGACTGACGACCGAATCCAATCTGTCCGAGACTGACCTGTTACTTTTGTACTCGAATTAAACCGTCCTTGTTTACGTAACTGAATAATTTTACGAGTCATGTTTTTTATCTTTCTTTGATTTACGATATTTATTTTTAACAATTCTTTTCTTGTTTTGATAGATAAACTATTGTTTGTTAGGTTACGTTTATTAGGAGAATATTGGGTTGGATATTGTGGGGTTTGGAGAATTGGGGAATTTAGGGATTAAGAATTTAGAGAGTTGGAAATATTTGCATTTGAAAATTTAGGGAATTAGCATATTTAGGGAGTTTGGAGATACGAGAATTTGGAGATGTAAAAGTTTGGGAAGATGGGAATTTATGGATGTAGGGATTTAGGGATGTGAGAATTTGTGGTTAAAGGAATTTGGGGATTTGAGAGTTTGGGCATTTGAGAGTATGTGAATAGAGGAATTTGGGGAATTTAGAGTTTGTGGATATAGGAATTTGGGGATTTGAGAGTTTGTGGTTAAAGGAATTTGGGGATTTGCGAGTTTGGGCATTTGAGGTTATGTGAATATAAGAATTTGGGGATTTGAGAGTTCGATGCTATAGGAATTTGGGGATTTGAGAGTTTGGTCATTTCAGATCACGTTAATAGACAAATTTTGGGGATTTGAGAGTTTGTGGATATAGGTGTTTGGGAATTTGAGAGTTTGGTCATTTGAGGTTATGTGAATATAGGAATTTGGGGATTTGAAAGTTTGATGCTATAGCAATTTGTAAATTTGAGAATTTGTGGATATAGGAATTTGGGGATTTGAGAGTTTGGTCATTTCAAATCATGTTAATAGAGAAATTTGGGGATTTGAGAGTTTGTGGATATAGGTGTCTGGGGACTTGAGAGTTTGTGGATATAAGTACAATCTGGGGATCTGAGAGTTTGTGGATGTAGGAGTTTGGGTATCTAAGGGTTTGTGAATATATTAATTTGTGGATTTCAAACAAGACTTAAAACTTTTTAGATTCGATCACTTAGTGATGTAGAAATTTAGGTATTCAAAAATTGGAAGATACAGAAATTAAAAAATTGTAAAATTTAAAAACATAGAACTTTGGGAATATACGTACATAGAAATACATTAGAGAATTTGACAATGTGGAAATAGAACTTGAGTACAAAATTTAGACCATCCTCCCACTACATGATTTAATAAAACCACTTTTTTGCACATCAAACAAAACCAAAATTCTAGCAGACTATATTAAATACATTTAAGTCTTAAATCTCACAAGTACATTATGGTTCATTGTGACCGAAAATGTCGTGCAACCTTTTATGAATACTAACTGATTCCACCTGGTTATTAATCTCTCTCGGGACATCTTGAGCACGATTTAAGTCTAAGTAAAAATCAGTATATCGCCTTGTGTACATCGTAAATCGTTACCCCTTGTAGTATGCCCTCGCTCAGCGTAAATGGAACGAAAAAGAAGGTGGTCGGCTTTGTCGACCAGCTGTCGCCTGAAAGGTATTCACCTATGGTGCAGACTTGTTACCCAAGCCAAGTGTCGATTCTAACGAAGCCTAACAATGCTAGACTCGACTCGAAGAGAAGCGAATTATTCTCGAAGCTTTTTGAGCATCGTTAGGATCGGCGAATGGTTAGTTTTTGGTAGTAAATGACGTAGGTGGCGAGCACGAAGCCGAGAGAAAGTTCACTTATCGATCAGAATGCCGAAATAAAAATGGACGCATTGTTCCTATGTTACTTCGTTCCTATCGTACTTTGTGGGAAAGAATGGTACATCGAGTAGGTGGTGCAGAGGAAACTGAAATTGCAGGAATACTGGGAGTCTTATACTTAGGTGAACGTGGAAGTACTGGTTGAAGTAATTAGGAGATTAGTTCCCAGCGTGATTTTATTCCGTGATGTACTTTCGCTTTCAGTACATGCTTTAGACGTCCTTACAAATATTCATACACATGTATTTTACATTTGATGTTCTTCTTTCTTTCTTTATTAATTTGATTCAGAGTGCTTGATAAATTTAATTATATTTTAGTAGTGAAGATATTTAAAACTCAGTGCAATTGTATCATTTCATTTGAAAGAAATAAATATTGTCTCTAAGTGAGATTTGTAAAATGTGTGATTTTATTGAAAACACATTTTGTGGATTTTAAGTTAAAAATAATTGTAGAAGCAATTAAAAATAGTTGTTAGAAGAAGACTTGAAATAATTATAACAGATGAATTTGATTTTTAAAATGCAGGATTCTTGTTCACATAACTTATTTACTCGAATACGGTTTCTTTCCATTACTACTTATTTCAGTCACTACAATAACATTCTACTAATATAATTTTTCTAATAAAACTTTGATCTCATTATTTTTCAATGAAACTGTAATCTCATTCTATCTGAACAAAACTTGAATTTCATTCAATCTGAACGAAACTTGAATTGCATTCAATGTGAACAAAACAGAAATAGAGGTTTAATTGAAAAATTAGAAAAAGTGAAGTATCGAGTACAACAGATCCGTATAATACAGATGAAATGAAAGATAGGAACTTATTAACCCGAAGAATAGCAGACGGATTTCATGAAGAAATCAAAGAGGCGCTCGAACAATGGGAAGAATCGTATTTATTAGCATTGAGTTCAGAATAGAAAGGTAATTCTGGTATACAATCTAATGATCATGCACAACTTCCACGTTCGCCTAATAATTATTTGTGTTTCTCCTTGCATGCTTAAAATCTCGCAAAATTTCCTTTCTAATGTTTTCCTCAATTTTTACGAACAAATTTTATTCTTCTGTACTTTCACAAGATTTCTTAGTTTGTATTTTTGGGGATGTGGAGATTTAGGGGCGTAGGAATTTTGGGGATGGAGGGATTTAGGGATGTAGAGATTTGGAGACACAGGGATTTGGGGATGTAAGGATTTGGGGGCGTAGGAATTTTGGGGATGTAGAAATTTGGGGACGTAGGGATTTGGGAACGTAGGGATTTGGGGACGTAGGGATTTGGAGACGTAGGAATTTGGGGGCTTAGGAATTTTGGAGACGTAGAAATTTGGGGACGTAGAAATTTAGGGAAGCTTTAATTTGGGAATGTAGGGATTTGGGGACGTAGAAATTTTGGAGAGCTGGAATTTGGGGACGTAGGAATTTGGGGACGTAGGTATTTGTGGACGTAAGAATTTGGGCGCTCAAATCTCCAAATTTGTGGATGCAGATATTGCAAGCCTTGGAAACGTGGGAATCTAGGAATTAGGAAATTCATCAATTTGAGTATCTAGAAACTTGAGAATTATTACATAAAAAAAAAG